GGGCAGGGGTTCCGGGGGCAGTCAGGGGACAGGGAGAAGGGGTGGTTGGATGGGGCAGGGGTCCCGGGGTGGGGGGGTAGATAGGAGGTGGGGGCTGGGCCACGAACCCCTCCCCTAACCATACAATTTACGAACCCCGATGCGGCCCTCAGGCCAAAAAGTCCCGTCCCCCGTCCCCCCCCCCCCGCAATAGACAGTGACATCTAGTGGCTGAATAGCTTGCTGCAAGTGAACGTATCATATGTATAGCTACCCTAAGTTAGCCATAGCTCTGTCTTTCTGTACCAGGCTACCCCCCTGTTTTAGCAACCTGGGCAAGGCAGGATGGTTGCCACCTCCTGACACCTGTTCGCAGCCCCCTGAGAAGACCTTCCTGTCTGATCCCCGCCTAGTCCCCGATCTCTGTGAACACGCAGTGGGCATTGTGTGGTGGTTCTTGTCTGGCCCCCCACATTGCAGTCTCTGAGCACCTCACAGTCTTCGATGTGTTTATCCTCACGCACTCCTGTGAGGCTGGGCCCGGCTATTTCCCCAACTGCACAGAAGGGAAACCGAGGCACTGAGTGGCTAAACGGTGGGCCCAAGAAAACCAAGAGAGTCTGGTGCAAAGCAGGGAACTAAACTCTGGTCTCTGACGTCCCAGGCTGGCAGCCCAACCACGGGCCCGTCCTCCTGGGACTGAGCAGGGTGACCGCATCGGTGACCGCGGCTCTGTTGGGCCATGCCCTCTCCCACAGGAAGCGTGCCTCCCCCCAAGAGCATCACGTCCTGGTTTACGTCGAAGGGCCTGGGGAAGACGCTGGATGAGATGACGGTCACCATCCCCCATGACATCTACGTCTTTGGCACCCAGGAGAACTCGATGGGGGACAAGGAGTGGGTCGACTTCCTCCGGAGCGTGCTGAAGGAGTTCACGGAGATCGAGTACCGCCCGGTAAGAGCCCGAGTGCCGTGGCAGGGCCTGAGGAGATGACCTGGGATTCGGGGCTCTGCAGTTCTACCTGGCTGCACACTGGGCCATGGTCGTCTTGAGGGGAAGCTTCTGGAGACGACAGCTTCCCAGCATGCCATGCTCCAGCTGCGCGCCACTCGGCTCAAGAGGGAGCATTGCATGCCGGGAAGCTGCCGTCTCCAGGGGCTGTCCCGCTATATTAAGACCCAGGATGTCTGCCATCTCCTCTGGTTGAGGGCCAGCCGTTAGACTCCCAGCCTCCAAATCCAGGTGGATCCCAGGCTGTGGATGGCCGTGGGATAGCGGAAGGGCTCGGGGAGACGGTTGCTGGGGTGACCGTCCTCCCAAATCCTCAGCATGGCTGGATTTGCCACTTTCACCTCGGCTGGTGGATGGGAGACGGCTTAGGGACCGGGTGTGAAAGCCTGTGGCCACGGGCGGCAGGTATGATAGACTGGGGGAGGATAAGCCCCCCCCAGACAGGATGTGGTGCACCTCCCTTTGGAGCACCGCCTGCTGTTGAAAGGGCACCTGGGCAGTAGCCCCCACCCCACATTCTGCCCTGAGGTCCCGCTCCACTCCACCACTTCTCCCGCGCGCCCCTCCCCACTCGCGCTTCTCCGCCCCTGAGAGGCCAAGAGGCACGCTCAGGGGAGGGGGTGGGGAGAGGCATGGCGGGGGGGCTCCTTGGGGGAGGGGGCAGAGAGAGGTGCAGGTGGGGGGCCCCTCAGAGGAGGGGGCTGAGTGGGAGCCAGGCCTGTGGCAGAGTGGGGGTGGAGCGTGAGCGTGGCCTCGGGGCAGGGCCATGGTCCAGGCGCCGGTCGCCCCCCACACTTCTAGGGAGCTTCCAGCACTCAGGCCCAGCCTCCCCAGTCATGCGGGGAGGCACACGCTGCCCATGCCTGTGGCCACAGGTCTCTCAGCCCTTTAACCTCCTGAGGTAGAGGCGTCAGCTCCCAGACGCTTTGCTTTTGGAGTGAGGGGTGTCAGCTGCATTGTCTTGGGCCAGCATTTCCCATTCGCACCCTAGCATTCAGAGTGTTGTGCACTGGCGTCTGTACTCCCCCCAGAGGTGGCTGCATTATTCATGCATGTGTGAGAATTCAATGGGAGCTGGATGTTCGTGGAGTGTCTGAAAATCGGGCTCTCAGCTTTCTTCCTTTGGGATCCTTCAGCACCAGCAGAGCTGTGTGAAGTGTAAGGCGTTATATTTAACAGGGCTTTTATCCCTTTCCTCCAGCCGTGGTCAGTTCAGGAAGAGTCCCGAGTTTAGTGACTGCTCCGTGAAAATGTCCTGACCAATGAGGGGTCCCAAGCACCTGCAGCAGCGCCCGCCAGGCGCTGTAACCCCAACCCTGGCTTGGTGCAGAAGGGTGCGGGGCTGGAGTCTGAGCCCATCCTGCCTTCACCCGGCCAGTGGCAGCCCCTGTGTCTCGCTGGCTGGGCCAGGCCTGTCTCCGCTCCGAGTCGGAGGTTTCCCCTGCTCCTCTGTCATGATGGAGGGTGGCTAGGCCAAACCTGAGCATGCCTGGTCACCACGCTCGGAGCAGGGAGCCGGGCCCAGCCCCGAGGCACAGGAGCCACTGCTGTGGGGGAGTCCCGAACACGCAATAAAGTCACGGGCAAACGGGAAAATCATACTGTCCAGGATTCTCCTCTTCTCGCCAGGACGAACCTGCAGCCGTTAATATAACGCTAGACCCAGCGACTCCTTAAGGCAGAAAAGACTTAGGAGGAAGAGAAGCCTCCTGTAAACATCTGGTTTGTGCCTTGGTGGTTCAGAAATGTCCTTGTTGGAACAGGGAAGGGGGAGTAGCAGCTATCCAACGTGTCTGCCCCGGGGACAGATTGGACTACAATTCCCAGCAGCCACCCTGGCTGCTTTCAACCTCACCAAACTTCATTTAAACCTCGGTTTGCAAACACTGAGCAACAGGGACACTCCTGGGCATCTCGGTGGGTTTGTTCTCATTGCCACATGCCTGGTTCTCGCTGTCGGTGGGGTTTCAGGGTCGGTGACTTTAAGGCAGTTGTTGCCTCCGAGCCAGGCTCCGGTGCCCCCGCCAGGAGAGCAGAGGGGTAATGTTATCTTGTTGGCCCCCTGCCAGATCGCGATGCAGGCCTTGTGGAACATTAAGATTGCCGTCCTGGTGAAACCGGAGCACGAGAACCGCATCAGCCACATCAGCACCTCGAGCGTGAAGACCGGGATCGCCAACACGCTGGGTAGGGGCCAATCTAGGCGCTGCCGGGGCTAGACTAGGTACCTGGGACAGACTGACTCGGCCCTCTGCACTCACCTTTAGCACGGCTGGCTGTGTGTGCATTCTGGTATCCACATTGTGCCCCATAGGGACTTTCTATGCAAGTGGTAGATT